CAGATGGCATTGATCCATTCCCCTGGAGAAAATGGTGGACTCTGTGTCCTTATACCCTGCTGAGGTTGCCATGGCAAGTTGATTCTGAATGCCCACGGCCTTGGCACTCTCTCAGAGCCTCTTTCTAGCACTCATTGTATTTATTTCCACAATGGGCCTTATTCCTAGTCCAATCCAAAGCCTTTTATTGGCATATAAATAAAAATACAGTAATCTAAGTACACACAGAGTCAAATTAAAATTGTCGAGTAACATCACAGAGTATCATCATAAAGAAAAACCTAATTCATCATATCATTTATCAGGCCATAGGGCCATGGCACTGCAGAGAAACTTTGCTGTTATTTCAGTTATTTCTGTGTCTGTGTTATCGAGCAAGAAAAGAAGCTTAAAATCATCAGGGGACTCTAAAAAATGGCCTAATATGGGATATAGAAGATCCCGACGGGACGCCAAATAGAGAGGGCACTGGAAGAGAACATGGGCAACAGTTTCAACACAATCCTTCCTACAAGGACAGCACCTGCTAGGATAGGGAATCCCTTGGAATCTGCCAGATAAAATAGCTGAAGGAAGAACATTAAATCTAGCCAAGGATATGGCTCTACGCAGATTTGGAGCTATGAGTTGATAGAGGTATACTGCTGGAAGATTTGCATTAGGAGTAATCCCCAGATGTAAGGGAGAACAGGTTCTGTTGCTTATTCCTAGTATCATTATAAAGCCCCCTGGTGGGGGGTAGCCACGGAATTGTGGTGAAAACTGCCATGTGGATGCAGTGAGTGCTACATAGAAAATCACTGCAGAGTGGAAGCAGCCCCTAGAAAGCAGACAAAATTGTTATGACAATTTAATTCATATTTTAATCTCAAAGTTCTATGTGTGCTCAAGCAGCTCTAGCAAATAAAACCCTCTGGTTTCTTTATCTGTAAGGGGATAGTTACTGCTGTTCAAAAAAAACCCTGCAGTTATCAAACAACATGCTCTAATAGTCTAGACAGATGTTCCTCCTTTGAAAAGACTGCCCTTTGTTCCAGCTCATCACGGCTCCCTAGAACGTAATTAATCCATGTCCCTCATTTTCAACACCAAAGCTCGGGAGTGACTCATTTTCATAAAGACAGTTTGATCAGACAACCTCAGAAGCTAGATCAGGCCTGCATAACTTGTGGCACAGCAAATCAAACAATGCACCAGCTTTGGATGGTAGCCTGCTACCCATGTTTGCTGCCTGCCTCCGAGTGCCCAAACAGGGCTTCATAAATGGCTGTTTTTTCGCTTGGCATGTTAGAAGGTGTACAGGCTAAGGCTAGGTCCCAGCCATTTTGTGCTTTTTTAATGCTCAGAAAGCAACAGACTAAAAAGTCAGTTCCCTCTGTCCTGGGGGCCTTTTCTTTGCCAGCATTACTCAGCCTGCCTGGCGGTTACTGACTCATCAACCAATAATGTTTTGTTTTGCTGACAAAGAGCACCAAATCCCGGAGCACTATTTGCACTGTTTGTAGTATGAATCAACCTAGGCATCAGCAGCACCTCCCATTTCAAAGTATCTTCCAACCTTCTGCAGGTTGTACGGGGCCCTTGCTAGTACTGCAAATCACAGAGGCCGAATCTGCATTTGTATTTTTAAATCATTTTCCTGCTGCTGTGATGTGGTCTTTCTCTATGCTTGTTTGAATGTTGTTTGGAGAAGATTCTTTTAAAGCAGTATGGAGGTGCAATGACAGTGGAGCTGCCCCGAAAGGATGATAAACATATGTGGACGTGCAAAAGTATGCTAGCACTCTTGAGGTGTGAAAACGACACCAAATGAAGACTGCTTTTTTGAAGACGGAGTCAAAAGGCTGGGACACTGATGGGAAAGACAAATGCAGATTCTGCCAGAGAATTGGTGCAGTGCTGAGAATTACAGTGGTGGAAGCAAACTAAGATACAGAAGACTGAAGCCATATTGGATGTGTTGGGTCCCACAGATGAGTTGTGCATTCTCAGTAGTCCTTATAAAGTGGAAGCACTAAAATTAATCCTTGCCATTTTGCTTGCACTAAGTGAACACAGTAGTATCCCCACAATCTTTTCCATGTGCACAAGTCATAGCACAAGGTATTTCTCCTGATACCATGTCAAAAACAAAATGTGATAATAGGGGCCATCTGTTGTATATTGCATTGTTTCGTGTGCATGGTATTTCATTAAAAACTATATTGTGTGATATTTTGCTTCAGCTGTTGTGCTACTGCTTGCACAAGTAGAACTGGGCTAAGTAAATTTTCTTTCTGGTTATGCATTCCTGGATCCAACCCCATGTTAATATTACATGCGTAAATGTGAGGGACACCAAGACACAGATAGTGGTCATATTGAGTGTAACCCAAAGCAGAGAGGGAACCTCCAGCTTTAATAGCTGGTAGCAGAGGGAGTTTCCGCCACAGCTGACTGCCCTACAGGAATGAAAAGGAAGCTGCGGCCCGCTAAGATTCTCTCCTCTACAGCACTGTAAAAATTCCTGCCCTCTTTTGCGTTGGCTCACCTGAGTCATACCACTCCTACTGGAACTGTTAACCCTAAATGACCTGTCTCCAACATCTGCTGCAGAAATGTAACACAAGATGAATGAACACTGAGGTAAGATTAAAGTATATAGGGACCTACACTGAACCCATTAGGCATGCATTGCCTCTGCCAGTATCTATATGCAAAGTAAGGCACAGTCTCCCTCCTTTTCATCCTGGAATCTTTATAGTATAATGAGTATTGGGCTCCTCCTCATACTAGCTGTCAGTTATATGTTCTGTGTTTTCCTGCAACTGAGAACTTCCCCTTGGTCTTGTATTAAGGAGAGAGAACCATTTTCTTTATTGCTATGAATCTTAAAGTGCTGGAAGCAAGAAGAGAGCTAATATCTTCATCTTGTCCAATTGACCAGCAGCCTGAGTTCCGGTTTCACTTGGGTCCTCCTGTGCAGAGTACTGGGCATGTTAATCCCGGCTGTATAAAAGCAAGCTAAGCAACAATGCAGATTTGGTGCAGTAATACAAATCTAGTCCATCTGCTTCCTGTTGGGCAGGCAATCTACAATTAATTTACCACATAAACCAGTGCTGCGCTCAAATGGTCAATGTTTCATTAAATGTACACAAAGCAAAGTGTCAGTTTTAAAACGGCAGTGAACTTTAAACAATCCAGTGCAAGATACAGGACAGGGAAATTCTCCAGACAGGAAAGTACAGATGAAGGCTACACAGTTGTGGGAACAGTGCAACAAAATATGTTTCTGTGGAATTATTTATTTATGAAGTTATCTGAAAAAACTGCAAGGAGAGACAGATGGTTCAATTTAAAAAACAAACAAACCCCACTTACCTATTCCCAGGTTGTTTTTTTAGGGCCTACTCTTCTCACATCCTTTATATGAAAACAGCAAACTGGCTACAGCTGAAAGCAGTCTGCCTCTGGTTCATTCGGTGTAGCAAGTGATGTAAAACAACCATAAAACACAGTGGAAATGCAGTAAGGGATAACAATGACATTTCAGTGGGCAGTCCCATTTGGAGCCTTGATTAGAGTGTACCATAAAACACAGTGGAAATGCAGTAAGGGACAACAATGACATTTCAGTCGGCAGTCCCATTTGGAGCTTTGATTAGAGTGTAAATATAAGGAATAAACTGACCAGATTTGGTTCAGGAAGGGAGAAGAAGAGATTGAATTTATACCCTACCCTTCACGACCCAAAGGAGTCTCAGAGCAGCTTACAATCCCTTTCCCTTCCCCTCCCCACAACAGACACCTGTGAGGTAGGTGGGGCTGAGAGAGCTCTTTCAAGGACTGCTCCTGAGAGAACAGCTCTAAGAGAACGTGTAACTGCCCCAAAGTCACACCAGCAGCTGCATGTGAAGGAGTGGTGAATCAAAGCTGGTTCTCCCAGATTAGAGTCCATGCTCCTAACCACTACACCAAACTGGAGCTATCTTAAGCAGGTGTGCTCAGAAGTAAGTTCCATTTTATTCAATGGGACTTACTCCCAGGAAAATGTTCTTATGATTGTGGCCGAAGTGTGTTAAGTTTTAAAAGAAGTTGAACTCACTTTTCTGTGGCTTAATGAAACTGATCTTTTTCTTTTGTTTACTCTGAGATATATTTTTCTTGATCAACATAGTTCTGTAATTCTAATTTTGTCCACCCCTGCCCCCCTGCCCAGAATACTGGATTTCCGTCGTGTCCCTCCAGTGGTTGGGAGATTGATGAACATCACTAAGGAAATTTTAGAAGTTACCAAGAATGAAATCCTACAAAGTGTCTTTTTTGTTTCACCTGGTAAGTCATTGTACGCAGAAGGGGAAAATATGTATTATTTTGTTCCTGCCACTGCAGTATAAGGGCCACTTTGAAGAGATGGCACTTTTGTGTAGAAAAAGAAAGTGAGCAAACCACACATATTCATCTCTTTTGTACTGGAAAGCCCTGAGGAAATCACCACTTCCCACACAGCGAGCATGCAGTAAAATGTAGACGTGCATATTCTGTACCTACAATAGTTCACACAGGTTGCATGCTTTTTGCCTACAAAGAGCTACCTGTGCAGGAAATTTGTCCCATTTGAAGTGTCCCTCCTATGCTACCAAACAAGATGTGAAATAACAATCCCCAAGGTGCTTGCCCTGCTTCCCGGTATCTACATTTAATTGGTGATGAATGGTAACACTGCTATTGCTAAATACTCAAAACTCATGAATCAGTCATGGATAACTGTGTTTCATAAAGATTAAAAATGAGTGGGCTTCTAAAATACTACCTCGTGGTTTTCTAAGCCCATGATATAATTTACATTTTCCCCACCCTGCAGTTCTAAGAACTAGAAATTGATTCCTTGTTAACAATTAAAAAACTGATCGTGATTTTATTAAAAATATGCACTCTACAAAAGTTGAGTATCTTTTCCTCTCACTCACACATCCTGCTTTTTCCATAGCCAGCAACGTGTGTTTCTTTGCCAAGTGTCCTTATATGTGCAAGACGGAATATGCCGTATGTGGGAACCCTCATATGCTGGAAGGATCTCTTTCTGCTTTCCTGCCATCCCTCAACCTGGCTCCAAGAATCTCCATCCCAAACCCATGGATCCGATCCTACACCTTTGCTGGAAAAGAGGAGTAAGTGGGTAAATGAACCTCTCTCTTTGCCTACTACTATGCACATTATATAGCACTACTAACTTGCTACATGTTTGGTACATTCACTGGGTTTTGACCCTCTCAGAAGTCATACAAAGTTCAGTATTATTTCCATTTTACAGACAGTAAAGTAGAGCTCAGAGCAGAGGGGTTGAAACCTATGTCCCCCAAACCTGAATTCTCTAGTCACTGGACTGCAGAGGATTAGACCACAGAGCAGTGGTCCGCAATCTATGAGTCAGAAGGACCCCCAGATATGTAACTTCCTGATCCACTGCCACTTTCCTGCATTCCTTGCCTGTGCAATCCAAGAGGTCGTGGGCATCAACGTATATGAGAGGGTTTCACCCACTAGTCCTCTCCCTCCTAGCATTCAGGTAGAATTTTGTCACCACTGGAACTTACCTGCCATTCCCTTCCTGGCGGCAGTTTGAGTCATTGAAAGGGGGCTGCCTAAGTGTGCACATATGAGGTTACTCACACCCCCACACACATCTGCTAACTCTAACCTGGTCAGGTAATTTGATCTATGTGTGGATAAATGGCCAGGAGCTTAGGTAAGAACTTTGGTCATAGTCTGAGATCTTTAAAAAGGAAAAAGTTCTTTATTCAATTAACATACTTCCCTAGTAACTAAGAACAGAGATGCATGGGAAAATTCTATCAGAACAACAGCACAAGTGTTACAAAAACTAAGAAATAAAACATGAGGCTGAGCTAAGTGCTTCAAGGCACTGTTTTACCTTGACATTCCTTTCATAGGAATGGGCACAAGAAATTTTGGAATTCTGAAACAAAGGCTGGTTGACATATTCTTCAATGAGTTTCTCTCCATTCCCTGGTTCTTGACTTGTGCACCTTGCACAGAGCACACTCTTTGCCTGCCAGCTGGTTCTGTTTTGACCTATCCTGAAATGGGGGCTGAGTCACCATGTTTCCTACCATTTATCTTTATCCAGTCATAACAATGTACATGTCCTTGGTCATTATGGCCCTAACTCAGGATATCAAAAGTGAACTATCTTGCCTCTTCTTAACAGGAGGATTTTGTGGCCCAGTTCTCATAAGGGTATATTTTCTCTGTGGCCAGGGGCCTCTTGGGGTGTTAACCAGGGCATCCTGTATTTCTTCATCATAACAGGTACTACCTGCTGGATCACTAGCCCCTGTAGAGCCACATTTTTACAGCTTTTTGAAAAGGCTCACTGTGGTTATGCATATAGAGAGAGTAAAAGCTCCAGGCCCCTTCTTCTTTTTGCCCACATAATAAAAGGAGCAGTAGGTACAGACAGGGGTCATTTCGTAGAAAAAGAGCTAGGGGAACTCATTAGCATAACTCATTAGCATATGCCACACCCCCTGACATCACCGGAAGTGTGTCATAAGGCCACACCCCCTGACATCACCGGAAGTGTGTCATAAGGCCACACACCCCGCCCCCAATGGTCCTGGCCGCCGCCTCTGGCCTTGCAGCTCCACTGCCAAGCCCCATGAGGGGCCCGGCGGTGGACCTGCAAGGCCGGCGGGAGTGCAAGGAAGCCCCGCGAAGGCCCTCCCTGGCCCCAGGCAGGCAGGGGTGGGGAGAGGCAGGGAGGAAGCAACTTACCCTCCCTCTTCTCCTGCCTCCTCCTGGCTGAATGAGGGCCGGAAGCGGGGCGGCCGGATGCGGGGGGCAGGGCTTCGTCATGTGCCCCGCCCCCCATACCTCACCCGGGGGAACTGCGATCCCCCCCCCCGAAATGACCTCTGGGTACAGAAAATCCCTCCATGGCTCTAACTCCTGGGTTGCACTTTCTGTCCCCAGATCACTTAGTCTAGCAGCCAGGGGCCTGGTTTCAACACCAGTGAGGTTATCATTCTGGTTCTCCCTTCCTCCTGTCATGTGACTCTGATATCACATGCATGCTGCTCACTGGGTATCATATTGCCTGGGGTTAAAGGTGGGTTTGGAACTGTTGAAGATCACTGCCCTAAGACCAGGGCTGTTGAGAGCCACCCCCATCCCCGATACAATCATGTGTGCAATTTTATGTCCTAGGCCAGCAAATACACTCTTTTTAGCTAAATTCCTTGTTCAGGTCATGAGAGTTCAGGCAGCTCATGATGAGACACCTTCTCTAACATAGTATACCCTGTCCTCTCCAGCGTGAATTCTTATTTTATTCTTAGCTGGAATAGATCGATACTACTCAAGACCTGTAGGTCAGAGGAGGAGAGAAAGAAAGAAATATACGTACCAGTATAGGACACATCTGATGAAGTGGGCTGTAGTTCACAAAAACTTCATATCACAATAAATCTTTAGTAAGTAAATCAGTAAGAAATCTCTTCAGTTTACCCTTGTACTGTTACCTAGTACAAAACTTGGTGCAAATTGATTATGTAGTGGTGCTGGATTACAACTACTGAGATAATTGGGAGTGATTTTGCTGCCACATTCTCTAAAAATATGTCATATGTCATATAACATGAGGCTTAAAGTCTACAGTAGCAAAGCAGCATTTACAAAGGGATGTTAGCTGTACCACCAATACAACAGCCCATTGCCTGAACAGTGTTTAAAATGTAATTAAATCTAATTGTGGGGAGGAGGAAGGAGTTCTGACTTCTGTTCCACATGTGTATGCACTAAACATGTTCCACATGTATAAGCATGTAAAGGGGGAGAACATTCTTTTGATAGAGCATGAGGAAATATTCTGCCCCCTTCTGTTCCTAATATTAACAAGAGTTTCCCTGCTATACTACCATTAAGTACATTCTAAGTTACCAACCAGGGTGAGGAGGAGTTGAGACCAATCGTGGCAAATAAAGGGGGGGATTAGAAGGGGGGAGAAAAATGAAGGCACATCATGAAAGGAAGAGAGCAAAACAGAGGAGAAGTGTGAGGAAAAGGAATAGAAATTAAGAAAAAAGGAAAGGTTTTTTATTTTCTACAACACACTAACAGGGAAGATCTGACTGAGCTGGCAAAACTATGGAGATGGGTGGAAGGAAAGGAAGAGAGAAACAGACTGCTGAAAACAGCAACCTTGTTAGGAGGCTGCAGCCTAGCAATGACTGTAGCAGCCGTGAACTGTGCTGGATAGTCTAGTCTTTTTCCAATGCTGGATTGATTGATGGGTTTAGCTGCAGGATATGCAAGTGCTTGCCTTCTTGTAGTAAGCTTTGCAGACAAGCACAGCAAGTGGAAAGCAGAGCTACTGTGTCTTATTGTGCTTTGCCTTCCCAGCACCCCCAGAGGCTGAAATGCAGAACTGCATTAGAAGTAAAGTAAATAAGATGCATTCTGACTGCAGCATGACTCTGGCTTCAAGGGCTTTCCAGCTGACTTGGGCCTCAGGAATTTTGTCCCGCTCCCTCAGCAGTCCTGCCTAGTGCTCTTTGTAAGTAAAGGTGAGGTCCTTGTTTGGTGTGATATCCTGGTGGGACTATCTTCTGCAGCATTAAAGGAGACAGAAGGCAAAGCTGTCCTTTCTTTGGAGATAAGCAATCAAAATCCTTGGTTACCTCAAGTGGAAGACATTCTGAAAACAGTGACAGTCTAACACCTCTGCGGGTGTTAGAGCAGGATTTGGACAGCATTCAGACATCACAGTAAACTGTGTTTTGTAAGCTATGGTTTGATCAGTCCTAGTTGTGATGTCTGAAGTAGATGGTCCAACAAACTGGGGGTTATTGGTTGATACCAAACTAGGGTTTCCAGCTGGTTAAGTAAATTTTACACTAATTGGGATCTGTTATAATTTCCGAATTCCCAAATCACAATTTGTCAAGTAGTACTGTTACCCATATCTGCTTTATTAAATAATATCGACTTTATTTTGATTGTGGGAATTAGCATCCAAGGCAGACCTTAGCGAGAGGTGGGGCAATAGCGAGATCTGCTATCAGTTTTTATGGTGATAGTCCTGTTAAAACTCAGGATCTGCTATCAGTTTTTATGGTGATAGTTAAAACCCTGCTTGAGTCAATGACCAGTCCAAATTATAAAAGAAATGGGCTTTATTAGGGAAAAATAATAACTTAAGATATTTACACTCAATTCAAGGATTGCAAGCACACAAGAGGAAACAAAAAGAAGTTAGCAAACAGATAAGAGTTGGGGAGATTGAGGTAATACTATACCTATGCAGACGTGCAGGGGTCCATTGCTGGAAGGGAGGGGAGTGGGGACCCAAACTGTGGGGTTTGGGGGTGCATCTCTACTGTAGACTGCCTCAGAGTGACACACCTTGATGGCCATGTGTTTCGGAGGGTATAGACATGCGGTAACAATGCAGACCAATTATGCAGATTTCAGCATGGGGGGTTAATTGCAGCTGTCAGGGCAAGATCTCATGTGCTTTTCCAGGGTCATGAGAGCCAGTCTGGTGTATAAGTGCGCGGACTCTAATCTGGGAGAACCGGGTTTGATTCCCCACTCCTCCACTTGCACCTGGCTGGATTACCTTGGGCAAGCCGTAGCTCTGATAAGAGTTGTTCTTGAAAAAAGAGCAGTTTTTGTCAAGAGCTCTCTCAGCCCCACCTACCTCACAGGGTGTCTGTTGTGGGGAGGGGAAGGGAAAGGGGTTTGTAAGCTGCTCTGAGACACCTTTGGGTAGTGAAGGGCAGGGTATAAATCCAATCTCTTCTTCTTCTTCATATCCTAGGCATAATATTGGTCTGCCAGTCCTGGCTTCCATCTTTGTGTTCACTTATGTCAAATTGCCTGCTATATGGACTCCTTGGGCACCCTTGTGGGTTCCACTGACAGTTGGAAAAACCCCTCCTGTTGGACAGGAGGTTGGCATACTTCCAGTACCACCCTTCACAGGTTGTGGCCCTGAGAGGGACAGCGGTATAGCATGATGTCCTGCCTGCTGGGAGGCAGAAAAGAGGCAAAGCAGACAAACTGGGGGTTTCAGCACACACTAGGGTTTGTTACTTATCGCTGGAGACTAATCAGGATTCTTGCATAAACCCTGGTCATTTCTTGTGACATCTGAATGTAGCCATGATTTATCTGGTAAATGTATTCATCCTGTAACCTGTTAAGTGAGACCTAACTTTAAGGACAGAAAATATTCCCAATTTGCAATAGTTAAGCAGCTACAGATAATGGCAGGGCAATGAGTCAAGGTTTTTTGTTTTGATCTCTGTGAGCTATTAGGGTGGGTTCCGAAAGGCACTGGAACTTCTGCTGTTTCCCCTTTGAACAGTAAACTCCTGTGCCATATGAAATATTAGTTCTGAAACTCTCATGTTTCAGAAGGGGTCTGTCAAGTACCAGCAGCAAGCAAGCATGTGTATCACACAGCAGCACAACAGGAAGCTGTTGTTGAAGAAATTCAATAGTAAAGGCATGTAGAAACTAGTTCTTTTTGGATCCTGGCCTATGTTTGCAAGTCCTATCTGCTAACCCAGTCATTTATGTTACCCCGTCTCACTGGAGAGAAAGTAGCTTAATAATGAATGTTTTTAGAGGACCTGATTTATCTTGGGGGGGGGGTGCTTACTTAAGAAACACAATAGCTCCTTGGGGCAAGAAGCCTATAATTTTGTACATGTAATTATCGTCTGATTCATGAACTGTCTGTAAGTGTCCCAGCCTAGTGTAGTGGTTAAGAACAGCAGACTCCAGTGTGGAGAACCAGGTCTGATTCCCCACTCCTCCACATGAATCCTGCTGGGTGACCTTGGGCCAGTCAATTTTCTCAGAATTCTGTCAGCCCTGCCTGCCTCACAAGGTGCTTATTATGGGGAGGGGAAGGAAATGTGATTGTAAGCCACTTTGAGAGTCCTTAGGGTAGGTAAAGGTAAAGGTTTCCCTTGCTCGAAAGCCAGTCAAATCTGACTCTAGGGATGCGGTGCTCATCTCTGTTTCCAAGCCAAAGAGCCAGCGCTGTCCAGAGACGTTTCCATGGTCATGTGGCCAGCATGACTAGATGCCAAGGCACACAGAACGCTGTTACCTTCCCACCAAAGTGGTACCTATTTATCTATTTGCAATTTCTTGCTTTCGAACTGCTAGGGTACAGAAAAGCAAGGTATAAAAACCTTCTCTTCATCATCATCATCACCACCATCATCCCTGAATATCAATTTCATACGAAAATAAAGACTGACAGCAATTTTTGCAATCATGGTACTGAGAAACTGGTAACTCCATCAGTATGCCTCATTTTAACTAATTAGGCAGAACGAAGCATAAGTTTTTCTACGAAATGACCCCTGGGCAGAACGAAGCATAAAGTATGTATAAGGAGAAGAGGTTTAAGATGGTGGGAAAAGGCAGATTGCTGTGATGTAAAGCTTGATGAACAAGAAACCAAATTAGACAGCACCTCGGGCTTAAAAGCATAGATATACTGCTCTTTTCGCATCCTCCTGGCAGTTCTTGGCAAAGGACAGATTGATACCATTGGAAGTGTCCGTTGTAAAACTGCCTCTGCATGGAAGAGAGCAACAAACCAATAAACCATCCCAGAAGAATATGCTGCCTCCTCAGAAACAAGGATAAACACAGCACCAGATTTCAATCACTTCCCAAAACCGAGAATGAACTTGGGAGAACAGCAGCATCGGCATTTACTTCTGTGATATTTCTTGCAGATGGGAAGTGAATCCACTTTATTGCAACACAGTGAGGGAGGTTTATCCTTATAGCAGCGGCAGCCGGCTACTCAATATAATTGACATGGCAGTATTTGACTTCTTAATAGGTAAGTGGAAGCAGCCTAAATAACAAAGCAAATTGATTTGACAAACTTTCTCAAGGCTGTTGGGCTGAGTTTAGCTGACTGGGGAAAACTCTGATACTGTAGGAAAAGACCCTGTTTTGTTGCTAGGTGTTATGGAAATAGTAAAACCATGCAAATATTGTCTGCCAAAAACACACAAAGCAGAGTAGGAGTCCGAGCAATTAGTTCAAGTGGGCAGGGCTTCCACTGGAGACAAGTCTTCCCATTTCTGCTGCCTTTCTGTGGCACTTGTCCTTTCCCTGTCCCCTTACATGCTGCAACCTTCCTTTGAAACATGAAGTCCCTTGTGCTAAACAGATGCTATTTGTCAGTGGAAAATGTTCAAGTCAGCCACGCTGTCACTGCATGGTCCTGGGCAAGCCATCTTCTCTCAGACTTTGTTCCTCCTGGAGAGGAATAATAGATAATATCTACTCTTAACGGATAATAGTTGCCTCCCTTACAGGGTTGTTTGTAAAGTTCTTTGAGCACTTATGGAAAGTTCTAATTTATGTAAGGCATTTTTACTCCACTTTTCTCCCAAAGGGGGATGCACAGTGGTTGATAAAAAACACCGAAGTACAAGTTTAAAACAACAAGCACCACCAGCACAACCCCACCAAATACCCCAAACCACATACTGGAGCCAGTGGACCAGCTCACACAAAACCACAGGATGGGAAGGAGGGTCAAGAACCCCTTTTGCTCTTGCCAAAAATCTTGCACACTGTGACCACACCCAGGCCAAATACCTACAAATAGAAGAGAACAAAATACAGTCTAGGTCTTACCCAGCTGCTAAACATTATAGTATTCTTCCTGTGTCTAATCTAAATCCACCCAAAATGAGACACTTAAGCCCCATTGATTTAAATGGAAACGCTAAATACATGCAGCTAAACTATCTTTGTTGGTTAACGGGGCTGGAAAATGTTTGGCTGTAGGTGGATCATGAGTTAGAAACTGCTACGTGAACAGTGCATAGGCATAAAGAAAGGTACTCTTTCTGGAATAGCAGATCACTGCTAATATCAGGGAATCTATTGATTTTATATTTCGAAGGAGGAGGAGAGTGGTGATGGTGGTGGTGTTTATTGATTTTATATTTCGAAGGAGGAGGAGGAGGAGGTGGTGATGGTGTTGCTTGGATTTATACCCCACCCTTCACTACCCGAAGGAGTCTCAGAGCAGCATACAATCTCCTTTCCCTTCCCCTCCACACAACAGACACCCTGTGAGGCAAGTGGGGCCAAGAGAGCTCTTTCAAGAACAGCTCTGAGAGAACTGTGACTGACCCAAGGTCACACCAGCAGCTGCATGTGGAGGAGTGGGGCTTCTTCCCAGTTCTCACAGATCAGAGTCCACGCTCCTAACCACTGCACCAAAATGGCTCTCTTACACCAAACTGGTTCTCTGTTTCTAAAGAGAACATACTGCTACAGCAGTAGTTCACTGACATTAACTGACACATGCATGCACACATCTTCCATATGGAACTGGGGGGAAATCTACATACGCTCAGCAACAGAGATTTCCTTAGTGACCATTTTCCTACTAAACAATCATTCCTTACTGAGAACAGCCATTTCTAACTGACAACAGGCAAGCTATCCTTGCTTAGAATCTTCCATGTGCTGCAGTATTTAAAGGTATAAGATCATCACAGTATTGATGGCCAAGACCATGCTGCACTGTCAGCCCTCCGAGTGTCAATTAAAACAAAGTTCTCCTCATGAGACTACACATCCTGCTTCCTCGACTGCTCCAGAATCCTTGGAGAGTTCAGAACCAAGAGTTCAAATAAAGAACCCTGTTCAATTGCCATAGTGAGTCATAACCTCTCTGGTAATGGTGGTTTTCCTGGTGGATTCTAGAACAGCAATGGCAGCTTGACCACAAACTCAGCACTGACAGAAACAACAAGAGCAAAACACATTTTAGCCCATGGTCTCAGAGTACCAGTGGACAATAGAGACATGCCAAATGGTATAGAGCTGCGGTGGCTCAAGTGGTTAAGACGCTGAACTGCAGGCTGTGGAAGGTCAGTGGTGCAGCAGTTCGAGACCCGGGTGCCACATGATGGAGTGAGCTCCCATCTTTAGTTCCAGCTCCTGCCAACCTAGCAGTTCGAAAGCAAGAAATTGCAAGTAGATAAATAGGGACCACTTCAGTGGGAAGGTAACAGCGTTCCGTGCGCCTTGGTGTTTAGTTTGGATGCTGGATTTTTGGTGTTTAGTCATGCCGGCCACATGACCACGGAAACGTCTTCGGACAGCGCTGGCTCTTCGGCTTTGAAACGGAGATGAGCACCGCAACCCTAGAGTCGGATTCAACTGGCTTTCGAGCAAGGGAGACCTTTACCTTTATATAGCCAGAAGATTAAAGCCCTCTGTAGATTACATTATGTTGCACTGAAGTCAATGTGCATATAGGAGGAGTGAGCACAGAGTCTAGGTGTGTAGGCTTTGCCCTGTGACCAGGAATGTTAAAAAATGCAGCATTCTTAATCACAGGAACAGAGCCTACATGTGTGTGCTCCATGCTCATGAGCTGACGATCGCACATAGGTGGACAACAGTTTTTTGCATGCATCAGTTTCAACACACATGACAATTGTAGAGAATTATCAACACAAGTACAACATCTTCACACGACTCAAAACACAACCGCCCTCCAAAGCATAACACAGTTGACTTAAGAGAGTGGCATATTCAACAGCACTCTAATAGCAGCATCAGCCTATCACATTTTAATCCAAGCAGCTCGGAGCAGCATACATGTTTTCCCCCCCATTCTGTCCACACAACCACCAAGGGATGCAAAGTCAGGCTGAGAGAGAATGCTGGCCCAAATTTACGCATTGAGCTGCATGGCTATCGGCCATCTCAGTGATAGGACATCTTCTTTGCTTGCAGAAGGTGCCAGTCTACATCCCCAGCATCTCCAGTTAAAGGGATTAGGTAGTAGGTAATGGAAAGGGCCTCAGCCTGAGACCCTGGAGAGCTGTTGCCAGTCAGAGTAGATAATACAGACTTTGATAGACCAGTGGTCTGAGTCAGGATAAGGCATGTGTGTTCATGTGACTAAATGGGGATTTGAAACTAGGTCTTTCTCATCTAGAACTCTAACCACTATACCACAGTGGTCTGGTAACCATTAACATGCACTAAACCAGGGGTGGCCAAACGGCAGCTCTTTCACACAGTCTAATTTAATGTTAATAAAAAGCAAATTTGCATATTTTCCAGTAAAAACGTGTGTGTAATATTTGCTCATGTCTTGTGGCTCTCAAACATCTGACATTTATTCTGTGCGGCTGTTACATTAAGCAAGTTTGGCCACCCCTGCACTAAACCAATTGTGCAGCTGGGCTCTGAACATCCAGCCTATGGGAAGAATACTATGGGACTTAAAAGCTAGCAGTGGAGCATTTTGATCAGTTAGTGGGTCCCAATAAAAGGTATTAATCCTCTTCATAGGTGTGTCTTGATCTCTGAGGTCAAAAACTGATATTGCATGCCTCCTGACAAAAGCCCCAAGTGAGATTGGATTCATACTCAGGCACCACTACTGAATTTCATTCTCTTTTGAAAGGCAACATGGACCGTCATCATTATGAGATGTTCACAAAGTTTGGGGATGATGGCTTTTTGCTTCACCTGGACAACGCAAGAGGGTAAGGCACTTATTGAACTATCTTTAGACCATGGGAATTAAGGGCAAGAATTAGGGAGTTTTGAAGGCAGTGTTTTCCCAGAATCCCATAAATATACCACTTGTTATCAGGTGAGCAGAAACAGATTTAGGACTGAGAGAGAGAGATGTTGATTTGGTCTAAATGTACAAAAACCTATGTATTGTAGGCAGGTATCACAGGAAAAGGACTGAAAGCTGTAGTTTATTTTGACCAGGGAATTCTTGGAACTGTAATTATGTGGAGGAGGGAATCGAGATCTCTAATGGAGAAATCTGTGCATGTTCATTGCACTACAATTTCCAGGATTCTTTGGTAACTGTGCACATAGTGAGAAATCCTCAATTATAAGCCCTCCATTAGACATTTTCTTATACTTTCTACTAATACCTCAGTTGCAGTTCATTGAGGTAACACCTTTTCTGAATTTGTTGGTATACCTTTCCATTTGTGTTTACAATAGTTTCTTGTTGTAGATTTGGGAAACACTCCCATGATGAAATCTCCATTCTGGCTCCGCTCATACAGTGCTGCCTGTAAGTACATGTTGTTTTGAGGGCCTAGCAACACATTATATTTCCTTCATGGGCCTCCCAGCTCTGTCTATGCATGATCTATGGTGGGAACTTAATTCTTAGGCATGCACAGGCCAATTTGGGTCAGGAACATGGTGATGGGCTTAATCCTCCCTGTGTGCCATTTTCCTGACCTCAAGTGGCCCGGAAGGGGCATTACTATTTGCCCACTGGGGAAACCACACATATTGATGGACTGAACTTAAGTTTCTGCTGAAGGGCAAGTAGTGGCTCTTGGGGCCATTCAGTTCAGGGAATTGTGTGGGAGAAGAGGTTTAAGCGCCCTTTCCCTGCACCTTGCAGTCCTGATCCAAATCAGCCCATGTGCCTGACAATGAAGTTCCCATCACAAAACCACACATCTAATTGCATGGATCTGGGGAGGACATAAGGAAAATATAACTTGTAGGTCACCTATCATTCTCGTTACATTAACTGGAAGATTAAATTATAGGTCTGTGAACAATAACAAGGTTCACTGATGATGATGGGATGGAACGCCCGTGCAAGCACATCAGAAACCTTCACATCCTGCAAAGACAAGCGTGGTGTCCAAAACTGGACCTGAGAACTATCATCTGCCTCTTGCCTAATGATTTCCTGAAAACTTAAGATACAAAAGCTGCAGCTTATGGGTACAGAAAGCAGTCACAGGAAAAGGACTGAAAGCTGTAGTTTATTTTGACCAGGGAATTCTTGGAACTGTAATTATGTGGAGGAGGGAATCGAGATCTCTAATGGAGAAATCTGTGCATGTTCATTGCACTACAATTTCCAGGATTCTTTGGTAACTGTGCACATAGTGAGAAATCCTCAATTATAAGCCCTCTATTAGACATTTTCTTATACTTTCTACTAATACCTCAGTTGCAGTTCATTGAGGTAACACCTTTTCTGAATTTGTTGGTATACCTTTCCATTTGTGTTTACAATAGTTTCTTGTTGTAGATTTGGGAAACACTCCCATGATGAAATCTCCATTCTGGCTCCGCTCATACAGTGCTGCCTGTAAGTACATGTTGTTTTGAGGGCCTAGCAACACATTATATTTCCTTCATGGGCCTCCCAGCTCTGTCTATGCATGATCTATGGTGGGAACTTAATTCTTAGGCATGCACAGGCCAATTTGGGTCAGGAACATGGTGATGGGCTTAATCCTCCCTGTGTGCCATTTTCCTGACCTCAAGTGGCCCGGAAGGGGCATTACTATTTGCCCACTGGGGAAACCACACATATTGATGGACTGAACTTAAGTTTCTACTGAAGGGCAAGTAGTGGCTCTTGGGGCCATTCAGTTCAGGGAATTGTGTGGGAGAAGAGGTTTAAGCGCCCTTTGCAGTCCTGATCCAAATCAGCCCATGTGCCTGACAATGAAGTTCCCATCACAAAACCACACATCTAATTGCATGGATCTGGGGAGGGCATAAGGAAAACATAACTTGTAGGTCACCTATCATTCTTGTTACATTAACTGGAAGATTAAATTATTGGCCTGTGAACAATAAGAAGGTTCACTGATGATGATGGGATGAAACGCCCGTGCAAGCACATCAGAAACCTTCACATCCTGCAAAGACAAGCGTGGTGTCCAAAACTGGACCTGAGAACTATCATCTGCCTCTTGCCTAATGATTTCATTCTGGCTCCGCTCATACAGTGCTGCCTGTAAGTACATGTTGTTTTGAGGGCCTAGCAACACATTATATTTCCTTCATGGGCCTCCCAGCTCTGTCTATGCATGATCTATGGTGGGAACTTAATTCTTAGGCATGCACAGGCCAATTTGGGTCAGGAACATGGTGATGGGCTTAATCCTCCCTGTGTGCCATTTTCCTGACCTCAAGTGGCCCGGAAGGGGCATTACTATTTGCCCACTGGGGAAACCACACATATTGATGGACTGAACTTAAGTTTCTGCTGAAGGGCAAGTAGTGGCTCTTGGGGCCATTCAGTTTAGGGAATTGTGTGGGAGAAGAGGTTTAAGCGCCCTTTCCCTGCACCTTGCAGTCCTGATCCAAATCAGCCCATGTGCCTGACAATGAAGTTCCCATCACAAAACCACACATCTAATTGCATGGATCTGGGGAGGACATAAGGAAAATATAACTTGTAGGTCACCTATCATTCTCGTTACATTAACTGGAAGATTAAATTATAGGTCTGTGAACAATAACAAGGTTCACTGATGATGATGGGATGGAACGCCCGTGCAAGCACATCAGAAACCTTCACATCCTGCAAAGACAAGCGTGGTGTCCAAAACTGGACCTGAGAACTATCATCTGCCTCTTGCCTAATGATTTCCTGAAAACTTAAGATACAAAAGCTGCAGCTTATGGGTACAGAAAGCAGGGCAGGGACTGCAAAACAAACACTCAGCTAATAATGGCCATTGAGGCCACAACTGCTCACAAAGCTGTATGGTACCACCACTGAACAGTCCTCACTAATCAGATCCCAGTTTACCATCTCAGGTTGTGCACTGATTAGTTCATCACAGCAGATGCTATCAAAATATTACTACTTTCCAGGTAACAAGGTATTAAAAGGTTACCCAGACAACACAGGCCACAGCAGTAATACAAGATGGCTGCGACCTCTCTGGCCCTACAATAGTGGGCACTAGCCCAGTCCATAGCACATAGGCATTAATGATTTCTTGTAAGTCTCTTTGTACTTCCTTGAACTACCAAACAGACATATAGGGCTCATCCAGCCCGGTCACCATTGCTTTGAGGCTCTATGCTGGCATTCCCAAAGTGGATTAGATCAATCTACTTCATTAGCCACCGCTTGGGACCAGAAGGCCATGATCATCATAAAAGGCAGGCAAGAAGATGTAAGAATGCCCTTGCACTACAGCTAGGAGGCATTAGCAATGTGTGCTTGGAATGTAACTGATCAAAAGCCAATCCAAATGGAACAGGACAGATCTGGCTAGTTATCTGGTAGCATCACCACAGTTGAGATACTGTAGGTACAGGCAGTTTCCATTTTTGGTACTATCTTTAAGTTTCCATTTCTCTGTTGTGGGGAGAAGGGAAAGGGCGGTGATGGCAGAGAGTGAGTGATTGGCAGAAGGCGCCTGACAGACATGTTGTCCAACCAGAACACTTGGCTCATTTTCACACCACATCATGCAGTCTGAAGAACCACACTGTAAGCTCATAGATACCTTAGCCTTGCAGAATGAAGGCCCAACTACTGCTCTCCCAACAGTAAAACTACAAGGTAAGGCAAGAGAAAGATCAGATCCTTCTATATGAGAGGACCTCTCTAACAGCAGTTGGGGGGGGGGGTTGGCTATGATGCCTGAATCTGCAGGTAAGGCAGGAAGGCTCTATGTTTTGATTATTCATTTTATAAAAGCTAAAAATGCCACCAAAGGGAGGCAAATTTTGCTCTGCCCACCCCATCCCGGCCTTGCTGGTTAGATCTTTTTTTCATCCCAGCCTGCTCTGCAAATAAGAATTTGAATGGTCTGTCAAGTAAAAATGCTTTCTCCTATCTGTGTGAAATTTGATTGAAGATCACTTCAGTGAGAGGTTTAAACCCTGATAATTTAATTCCAACTGATGGAAGACAAAAAGAGTTACAGTGGAACATTTGTTTCCCACTGAAACCAATGTAAATGCCAGCTGCATATAGCTACATATACCCACAAAGTGAGATTAAGAACATCTTTAACTGACAAAATGAGCTGACCCCAGTAACAAATCTGTGCACATCGTTATTGGGCGTCCCCAGATTACCTGACCCAATGAAAAGGCTTCTAGGGGCTTCGTTACAACGGACACCAATCACAATAGTAAGGATACACCCAGATAGCAGCACGTGTGTGCAGAAGCAAGTGACAGCAGAGAGCTATTTTTGGCCACAAAAGCACATCTCCTGTCATGTGGACTGCACAGTCTACACAGGTCTCATGTGATTGCAGCCACCTGCAATGAAAACTGTCAGAAGCCACAGCAGGGGGCCGGTGCAGAACAAATAGTGATGGAGCAGCCACCACAAATGGCAAGTTTGGAGGCTGGATTTTTGGAGTCCACACTTCCCTTGATTGCATTCCCCTCCCTCAGCCCCCCCCAAATCCAGGCTCAATCCAAAATAGATCCGTTTCCACCACCAGCAGATCCCAAGAAGCTCTCATCACTTACTTAGCCCTTCCCCAAGCTTATCCATGTTGGGAGGATGTTGGGAGGATGGGGGAAAGGGCACACATGTACCTCAAGCAGCTTGCAGTGTGTCTGCCCACTACTCAGAATGAAGCCCTGCCCTGGATCTGCTGCCTGTGCTTGCACCAACATCCAGAGATTCTACATTCTCCATAGTTCCCAGTGTTCCATAGGGGATCCACAAGCCCAAGGCCCCACAAAGGCAGTGCCCAGGAAGCCTCCTCTCCTTATACTGCACTCAGCTAAGTTTGGGAAGGAGCAGGGAGTCCTCTTTGAAAGTGGTGTGCTGAAAACCTAAGGTTCTTTGAACCTTTGGCGGTGGAACTCAGATCATTTTCAAATACTTGGCAGATTTTCTAGAAAATAATTCACTTTCAAAAATTAATTTCCATAGCAGCTTGCAGTGAGTCTGCCCACTACTCAGAATGAAGCCCTGGGTGCATTTATGACTTCAGGGTTTGGATGTACATCCATCGCCTTTCCAACCAGCCATTTGTCACAGTTTAAGAGAATGGAGACATTGCTTCTGATCCCTGTCAAGAACATTAAGATTTTAATCTTCTTCGAAGGGAAAGAAAAAAACTGAATATCGTTGGTTATATGTCTTTCGAGGCATATGGAAGACACAGAGTTTGTTATAAATACTACTACCTGAATCCTCCTCTGTAAATGAAGAATTAGCCAGTTAAAGAGCTATGGCAAGGGTTATTCATCCTCTGGACTTCTTTTTACCATGTCTAACTGATCGCATCATATTTCCCTCCTCCTCTGCATTTCTGTGCTACCTGATGTCAACAGCATCACCTCTGGCCATAGTAAGCTTCCAGGTTGAGTTTCAAACACTATTATTCACACCATGTTAAGCTTCTAGTTTATAATTAGAGGGCTGCCAATAAATCCTGTCAGTGAACTCAAAGTCTGAGTGATTTAAACTGGCTCTTGCTCACACCAAGCCTGAAATAATAACCTCTCAAGCCACAAAGTTTGATTTCCACCCTTCCCTCTCCAGTATATTAAATGCAGTCAAGGTGGGGCTTGCAACATACCCATTGGAGAAATCAAGCATATATATAGCAGAACCCATTTCTTTTTCCCCCACCTGAACAAATAGGGGAGTGATGCTATTTCTAAGAACATGCAGTTTAGAATGTAGCATACTGTATTACTTCCTGGTTTTTTGTATAAGATACTTGTTACAGTCAGAGTCAGAACAAAACACATGCCGAAACCTCACATTCCCAAAAGCTTCACTCCAGAAAGTCCAAACAAACAGCTTTTACAGTGTTTCTGGAGAAGTGTGCTTGCACACGAAAGCTTATACCTTGAATAAAACTTAGTTGGTATTAAAGGTCCCACTGGACTCAAAACTTTGTTCTGCTACTGTAGACCAACACAGCTATCCACCTGAGTGTTTCCAAGAGAATCGGAGGCTTGGACTAGGGCTGTGTACATTTCATTATATCATAAAAGCAGGAAACTTTGTACACACAAAATACGTACATCACAAAATGGAGCATGCAGAGGATGTCAGCTGTTTTTTAACGCAAGTCTCCATATCTCATGGTTGCACAAGCAGACTTGAAAGTAAGTGGTAACCATAAGTCTGAAAGACAGTCATTTTTAGAAGCCAGATAATGGTATATACTGGATATATATAATATTTGGTGGTTATGGATTGGGACTGCAGTGTCCCGCACTGCTACTTTTCAAAATTAAAAAGCTAGTTGTACCTAGAGATGCCACTACTTCACAGTGAACAGGTCTGATAGGCAGATAATACCATGTTTCCCCGAAAATAAGACACTGTCTTATATTTATTTTTTCTCAAGAAGACACACTAGAGCTTATACCACAAATGCATAGAAATCCTGCTAGGGCTTATTTTTGGGGTAGGTCTTATTTTCAGGGAAACAGGGTACCTATGTCCAACAGCCATGATCATCTGTGAGCAGAATGTTTGACCTTTTCGCCTCTCCACTGTTTGACTTGAATGGTTGTCAAACAGCTTTGTGGCTGTGCAGAAGCTGTGCAGGTACAGCTTTGTAGGGTTTTACATCTGCACAGTAGGCAAAATGATTCTGTGCACAGTAGGCAAAATGATTCATGAGCAATTTACATGACATAGTGTTAGTTTATAATTGCAGGCTGACTGAAGTGCTCACTATTTACATGACTGGCTGCCAAGCCAATGTGCAATAATAAGAGGTCTGCAGGGGAAGGGGAAAGTAGACTTCTCGTCAGGCTGCAAATGTGCATGCATAAGCAGTCAGGAAGGAGGGATCACTAAGGGAACACCAGATGAAACAAAAAGGTCTTTTCCTGCTGGAAGAAGATGGCAACAGAAGCAGACAGTTTCTCTGGGATATATGGCACACTTAGTCTGAGCCCTTGCTTCTCTCCAGAAACTGTGGGGCGTTTTAGCAGCCAATATTAAGCTTTGAGAAGGGTGAAGTTTCAACATGTTTTGTTTTTGGTTTGCTATATATTTTATATGAATTTATTTCCTTTAACCAATCCTTAACACGGGGGAGGGGCCTGAATATTGAAATAATACATCCTTTAACCAATCCTTAACATGGGGGAGGGGCCTGAATATTGAAATAATAGTGCTGGCAGAGATATTTAGAATTCATTAAAGCAATGGAGTATAGAATGTAGATACCAAGCACCATCCTTACCTGGCAGTTTTACAGTCAGTGGCATGAATCCAGACTAGCATTTCCATAGGCACAAGAATCGCTGTCTGCAGAGAGCAGTTTCCCTCTTTCATAGCAGTCTATGAAACACACACACACAATCATCTTTTTGCCAGGTGAGAAAGTCACACTCCATGGATGAAAACACTAGGTCTGGATCCAAGCCAGTGGGTCCTATTGTATAAAATGAACTCTGAAATTGCAAACTATAATGTGGGTCAGCCCAACCACTGGGTTGTCCCCATGCAATTGCACTGAAAAAGATTTGACAGTATGGCCAAAAGCCAGAGTGGGGGCTGATAAGCCAGAACATACACAGTAGTTCACCACATGGAATGCCCACAACCACTCCCTAACTTAAATGTGATGAGATGCATCCCTGAGCTTTCAGAACATATATGAGTAACAGAGGAGCCTTTCAGGTGCAGCCCAAAAGCATTTTCATTTCTGCCACCTGACCAAAACAGCCTCACTTCAGGTCTACTGAGCCCTGTACAGGTCTATTATGTTATTCACCAACTACAAACCTTAGCCACGTTTTCTGAGATGTATTTCATCAATCCCTCTTTCCTGCAGGCAGATCTGCACACTTTAGCACTCCACACTTCACCCCCCCCCCAAAAAAAAATACTGTTCCTGGAGGCCTGATTTCAGAGAGCATGGCAGCAGGAGACAGAAGTGGTGAGCTCCGCTCGGGCTAGACAAGACCCCACCCCCATAATGGCTACATGTTCAACCAGATATTTTAAGCATGTGGGCAGTGTATTAGCAAAATGGCAGGAGAGTTCCCATATCATGTTCTCAAATCCAATACACAGCTGCAGGAACACATGAAATAAAGATGGCATCTTAAAACAGAATGCCCTGCTATTCTCACACAATAGCACAGAAAAAGTTTGAGTGGGTGAATATGAAACAGAGGAAGTCCACAGAAATTGTCTACAATTAGAGGGTCTTCATCGTCAAGGGAAGATGTGTTTATTTCAGATGCCTTCCTTCTCACTATTGAGGGCTGTCCTGGAAGAAATCTTTTGAATTCGGGGGGTGGGGGGGCGGCGGCGACAGGGGACTCCTGATGCATTGTCTTGAGCTTATGGACTCTACAGTATTCTTGCACCCATTCCAAATACTTTTTTGCAATTTTTATGGATGCTACAGTATTCATGTGGAATAAGGAGGGTTTCCCAGATCAGAGGGTTAGACTTAAAGATTTGAGACGTAGGATCCCCATCATTTAAAATTGGTCACACAAATGCCCTTTAAGCATCCCTTCACCGTTGAGGGTCTAAGCCAGGAAGACAGTTATTTTTAGTTGATCAAGTCTCTTTTTCTCATCCAGAATAAAGAAGACAACATTATTACGGCTACAACTCTTAGCTCAGCCAGACTACCAACTCAGTGATGTTATGCGGGAATCCTTGCTTCAGGACCGCCTCACCCCTGTGCTTACAGAACCACACCTTCTGGCACTGGACAGGAGGTTACAGATAATTCTGAAGACTGTGAAGAAATGCATAGAGACCAATGGAGAAGACACAGTTGTAGCTAACTCTGAGTCTTTGGAGCCACCTGTATTTGGAACGTCATGATGAAGTCAGAACCCAGGAGGAAACAGGGACATGAACTTAATTGTTTATTCTCATGTATCCAGGAAAATTGGATTGGCATGGGCAAGGTCTCTGGAAGATCACAAGTTATGAACTGAGCTGCTGGGAGTGTAGTAGGAGCTGCAACTCCGGTGATCAGTTGCTAACATACTTATTTTACCCTGATCCCCACTACCAATTATCTTTGTGCCTGTGCTGCAGGAGACAACCAAAACCCCAGCAATATGTAACAACAAACCATGCTCTTTGCATGCTGGTATACTTCATAGGAACTGTCTGTCACCATGATGTGCAATATTAGACTTATGGAAACTTGAATAAGGGGGAAGTATGCTTAATGTATGTGGGCATACACACACCTATCTCAAACTTTAGGAGACTGTATGAAAGTATAACTTAACAACATCCATCTTAAAGAACTATTAACAGGAGTGATAAGACCCTGGCTGAAGGCAACAGAGGTTCTCAAAAATTGGGATTTTTCTCCCAGTTAGAAACATACAGAGAAGGGGTATCCAACATTTTTGCACCTGCAGGCCCCTTTGGAATTCTGACACTGGATGGTGGGCACAACCACAAAATGGTTGCCACAGGAGTAAGATCCAACCACAAAATCTCAGGGAGTGAGGTCATGCATAACTAGTAAACAGCATTCCCTCTAAGCTGAGTTAGTGTGAGCTAGCTCACAGTTTTTTTAGCCTCTGGCTCACACATTTTTGTCTTAGCTCAGGAAGGATGGCTCCAGAGCAAGCTGACTTATGCAGCAGTCAAATTGCTCACTCACAACTTTAATGCCAGTAGCTCACAAAGTAGAATTTTTGCTCACAAGACTCCACAGCTTAGAGGGAGCATTACTAGCAATTCTTCAACATTTCAGGCAGAAGCTCCATTTAACAGACAAATATGTAGTTAATATTTTATTGCATACATGCAGCTTATCTTCAGTCATAGAGTGAAAATCCTTGTGCTATGATGGCAACGTCTTAAAAACTGCAGCCAATCAGATCTCCAAAAGCCAGTCAGATGTCCTGCTGGGCAAAATAAAAATAATTGACAGGCTACAGGAAAGGTGTTCACAGGTGCATCAACCAGTTTGAGAATCACAACCTAGGATGAAAGACACTTCTCCTCCTTGGCAGCCACAGTGCAAGAAATGAATTCTTAGAATAGTGTCTCAATGAATACATTTCAGAACCACAGAAAATGTGCAAACGTATTCCCACAAACTGCACAGTCAGTTTAGATGCATCAGGGCATAGATTTTTTATTACGAGTGAAAGCTTTTTAAGAACAGTCTCTGATCCAGTTACCATAACACTACAGAAGAAGAAGAAGAGAAGAGATTGGATTTATACCCCGCCCTTCACTTGGAGTCTCAGAGCGGCTTACAAACTCCTTTCCCTTCCCCTCCCCACAACAGACACCCTGTGAGGTGGGTGGGGCTGAGAGAGCTCTGGCAGAAACTGCTCTTTTTCAAGGACAGCTGTGCCAGAGCTTGTGACTGACCCAAGGTCACATCAGCAGGTGCAAGTGGAGGAGTGGGGAATCAAACCCGGTTCTCCCAGATTAGAGTCCGCACACTTAACCACTACACCAAACTGGCTCTCCAGAGAAGTAGTATAGTGACCTGCAATACAATTAAGTTTGAGAATCTATAGTCTAGGGCATATTCAGATGTAAGTCAAAGAAGCAAAGTTTGCACACTGAGTGTGCTTATATGAGGATTCATGCAACCACTGGATCAATCATTATTAAGAGATTAAGCCACAAGATATTATTCCCAAAGTGGCCCAGATAAAGATGGCAGGGCTGCTAACAGAAGCCAGTGAAAAATTGGTTATTTTTGCTTAGTAATAAAATAGTTATGTCCCAGCTTGATTTTTAAAGATCTTTCTCTACTTGGTCAAGAAATGATATATTTGGCTTCTTCAGTCTTAGAAGGATCATCTACAGTTAATCATTGTTCCAGTGCAAGTGGGGGATTTGTGGGAAACAAATGAATTTGTTGCCTTATCCTAAAGTTCACAGCTTTATAGGGAACCTCAGCTGATTTCTAAGAATCAAAGTGCAAGGTGCAAGAATCAAGATGGGGAAAGCTACATGCTTTGATGAAAGGCCTTTCTCCCAGATGCCTGATGGGCAGGGGCTGGTCAAGATTATTTGGAGATTAAAAAATGAAAATATTAAGAATGTTTAAGCATATAAAAAAGTTCTGCAGTCTACATTTGTACAGAGGCACTTTGAGAAGTAGGGCCAAAGATGTCCCCAAGGATTGCTAGCCTGTACTAATTAGGTGGTCATCTTCTGCAGTGCAGGATGGACTTAGTTCAGGTTGCGGGAGTCACATTTTTTAAATGCTCCCCCATGTAAAATGAGCACATCAGGATAACAGTTTATAGCATACCCCTCTTCATTTGCTAATTAGTGTACTGGTGTTAGGTGTGTGCACGGGGGGGGGGGGAATCGGTATTTTCCGGGTTCAGGTAAACTAAACCCAAAAAATACTGGTAAACACCAATATTCCCAAAGCCCAGTATTGGTATTATACTGGGATTTGGGAAATACTCTGCATTGCCAAAAATATTTGGCTGACCATTAGAGCTGTGTCAGCTTCACCCCCCCTCCACTTCCAAGTGGAAGGGGAACGAAACTGACTTGTTCTCCCTCCGCAGCGAAGCAAAGAAAGCTCAGGGCGGCATCTTAAAATGCCTCCCCTTCGCTTACCCAGCTGGCCTGCCAGAGCGGGCTGGCTGGAGAAGTTAAGAGAGAAGGGGTTTAAGGTTTGTTCCCCTTCTCTGGAGTCATGCTGCAGTGGCGACACAATCTCTCATTGTACCCTATGGCCCCTTAGGGTACAATGGAGAGATCGTGCCACTGCAGCACGACTCCAGAGAAGGGGGAGGCCTGGCTGGAGAACAGGCATTTAAATGCCTCCTCTTCCCTCCCCCAGGCATGCTACTGCTGCCTTCCCTTCCCCAGCCGCCCTGCCAGGGCAGGCTGGCTAGGGAAGGTAATGGGTGGTAGAGCCGGTCAGTTTCACTCCCCTCTGCTTCCAAGCTGAACTGAGTGAAACTGACCCGCTCTCCCTTGTCTTCACTTCCCAGCCAGCCAGCTCTGACAGGATGACTGGGAGAAGCGAAGACAGATTGGGGAGGCATTTAAAGATGCCTCTCCGATCCGTTTCCCATTCCCCCCCTAATTTGGGGATGGGCACCTAAATAAAAGCTGAATAAGATTGGCTTTTATTCGGGAGCACCTTATCAGTAGCCGAATCAGATTAGAGGATCTGATTTGGCTGAATACATACCCCCAAAATACCAATAAGGTATTTTTAGGTACATATTCCATTTGGCTTTGCCGAATGCAAACCCCTAGTAAGTGTGTACATTGCATCAGGAAGAATTCAAAGGTGATACCCCTACCGGCATTTTGTAGTGGTAGTATACTATCCCCTCAGTATTCTGCATCTGCAGCTCAAGCTGTTCCTGACAATGGAAAGCTGGCATATGAATATGAGTCATTTGTTTGACCAGAAGACCAGAACAGCTATTTCCTTCAAAAGAAACCATTGTCTCCTCAGCACAAGAATTTTAGGGAACTACAAAGATGGTTGGGGGAAAAAACTGAGTAGCTTTGATTAGTGTCCATGTGCAATTATATACACATTTCAACAGACAAGAATAGTACACACCAGATTTAAAAACAACACCTTGCCATTTTCCCTCCCCTATCTCAATGTCTGTTTATCAAACTTAAAATCCATGTAAACATGAATACAATCTGAACTAAAGTTACACATTTAGGATTTTTAAAATTCAACTATTAGCACATTTCTAATGTTTATGCAAGTATACCAAAATAAGCTTCCCACAAACTCATCTACTGGCATAAGTCTTGGGACAGCATGACAAAACTCATATATCATGGGTCGCCCACCCTGATGCAAACATTTGAGCTGTGGTGGAAGGGCACCAACTCAGCTTTTCTAACTGATTTGGCTAGGTAGCATCCCAGACTAATACAAGACATCCTTTGCCAAGCTGTTTGGAAGATTCCCCAGCAGAACAGCCTGACTGCGTTACTACCTTTCAGCTCATTTGTTTATTCAGTATTAGTTTACATATTTCATGGATATTCCTCATTTTCACCTAGGAATTAATTCCATCTCTACATGGATTATAAAAACAAGAAATACCAAAGGTGATTTACTCTGGCAATGCTGTAGTACAGCTCCTTCTACTGATGATTTCCAGGCATCACAGTTAGTAGTTAAGGTAAAGATCTGCTTCATTCCAAGGGCCACCCCATACATATTTTGTGCAGACTGCTCTGATGAAGAGATGTGTGAAATGCAAACACATACATGTGATTCTAGTTTTGATACATCCCTCCCTTCACATATTCCTCATTTAAAAATTCCAAACTGCCTAGATCAGGGGTGTCGAACTCATTTGCAATGAGGGCCAGATCTGACATAAATTAGACCTTCAGCATCAACAATTCTATATCACCAAAGGGGGAGGCCCAAATGATGGCTTTTAACCAAACAACGGCTTACATCTAATACACACAGAAAATAAGATTGAGAAAATTCTAGAGCCACCCTACCATTATTACACTAACCAGTAACACCTCTAGCATTTCTGTTGCATCATTCATATGGAATATTTGTCTCCGCAGGCTAGAAGAGTTGAAGAATTGGAGTGCCATGCAGAAAGGGTTAATTCTGCTCCCAGAATCACATCAGGAACACTATGTAAACACACATTAGCTTGACCCTTCTGAAATTATACCTATAACATCCACACAAATTTGCAATATAGAATCTCGTTTTCAGATTTTTTAAACTCACAAATTACTTCCCCAAAACAAAGACTTTGTTAGAAATAATTTTAAATCATTTTGTTGGAAATAATTTTAAATCAGGGAACTTTCACTCTGTGGAAGAAGGAAGTAGCCACTAACACTTATGAACTCTGGCACCCCCAACTGCTTTCTTTTTTTAAAATCTTTTTATTGAGTTTAATAGAACGAGAGATAATACAAAACATAGTCAACACATTTAGATCCAACATTTACATGTCCAAGGCAGAGCATATCATCATAACCTTGAGAAAACTCAACTGCTTCAATTGGCCAGGTTCTAATATCAATGTAGGTTAACATATTAGGTATTTAATTCAGGATAATATATTCCCCTGCTTGTGTTTTTCTAGGAAAACAGACCATTTTTCTAGAGGGCTCAATAGTTCTTGCTCGCATCGTGTTGAATCAAAATATACAGTGCTTTTTTCTAGTAGAAAGTAATCCCAACTGCTTTATTTGAAGAATCAAAGGTACCAATTAGCAGTAGAAGAGGAAATCTACTCCACTGGCTTCAGGCACCAACAGGAAGATAGTAATCCAACAAAATAAGATATGACCTTCAGACTTAAAGACTCCAAGTTAATGGAGGGGGATGCAAGATTAAAAAAAAAAACACCCGAAATGAACACAGCAGGAAAATCTTCAAGCCTGATGCAAACGTGTCAGTGATCTCTTAACCAGTTAAAAGAATCTAGAACAGGGCTCTGAGTAATCAAAGATAGTAGATTTTAAATCCTGGCATGACCTACCTAGCTACAAAAGTTTATTTGTAAAAACATACTAATTAAATGTCAGGTTTAGGGAAATGCACCTCAGTCACACCAAAAGCGAGCTAGGGTGCAGAGATGGCATGATCAAACACATAGCCAATTCTGGGTTAATCTGCAGGGAAATGTAAAATAAGACACTTATTACATTTAAGAATTTAAATCATTTTTATTGCTTTACCTGCCATTAGGACAATCTATAACAAAAAGAATATATTAGCACATACAGTAAGTCAGACTTATAGTCAGGTAACAATACAAAAATGGTCCTCTGGTTGACTATATCACTCTAGGGCAGTAGATTTTAAAATTTGCTAAGGTGGCCTAGCAAGAAAGATTACCTCTAAAGCCCTGAATGTTAGCTAAGGCAAACTATACCAACTGTGGATTCAAACATGTTTAAATTGCACACAAAGGTAAAGCTTTAACTGTGATTAATATTTAACTCAGACATAGCTGGTTCATCTTAAAATCTTGTCAGCAAAACTACAAAAGGGAGTAAACAGCAAGCTAAAAAGACGCAGTAGTGAAACTTGATTAGAAAGCCTTATAAAAATGTGCATTTTGTGGCGCTCTAACTTACAGATTTAAAATCTTTTTGGTGCTGCAACAAGGATCAAATCAAGATTCAGAAGTAACAAAGGAAAAAAAATCCCTGGATAGATTCAAACTGAATAAAAATTTAGAGGGGAAAAAGCTGAGCATTTGTGGAGTCCTGAGGAGTACAGGTGGAAATCCTCATCTCGCTAAGATCTTTAGGACAAATACAAGGAATTCACAATGTATATTTTACATTTCATCCTTACCTAGAAATGTGAACATATCAATAGCTTCCTATAGTTTCTTAAGGTTCTAATCCTCAAACTTTTAATATGATTAGCAAACATCCTTCCAACAGCCAACAAGTCAGAAAAGTGTATCCCAGGTCCAACTGTCTGGAAAAAAAAGATATGGGGAGGAGTGGGAGTTGGGAGTCATAAGAAAGTTGCATAACTAATGCAAACACTTGCTGTCACTCCCAAATAAAACCCTACTCTAGTTTTAGACAATTTACACTTTATAAGGAAACTCAATCACCTACAGTATCCAACTGTGAAATTCCATAAAGCTAAAGGGCAGCACTGGATGCACACAGAATACTGTAACACAAACCTGGTAAATATTGAAACACATTTCAGACTTGACAACAGAGTTAACTTTTGATAAACAGTTCTTGTTCTATCAGATCAATATGAGAATCATGGGCAAAGCAAAGTAAAATGAAAACTTTGTGTTCAAAATAAATCTGTTTTTTAAAAGGCTGGAAGTTATTAAAACTTCTGCTTGAACAAGAGATCTTCAGTAACAACATGAAGTTCGATAGGAAACTGATCTTCTGCTTTCTGTCTTTCACATGAAACAAAGGCTTGTCATCTTCCTTACTGAGATGGTGTATTTTATGCTGCATTGAATGCCAGCTATGAGAAGAGAACCACTTAATTCTCAGGTTCCAGAGAAGCAAAGCTTAGAAGGGATACACAGAAAAGCAAACACAAAGTATAAGCCCTTCAGATTCCTGCTCTACATTCAGCACAGGGGGTGTGCTATTTGGCACTAACTAGGGAGCAGCGCAATTCTTATGCCAGTGTGTACACTGACAGCTATATTCAGGTTTTAACCCACTGGTTAGCTTCTGAGAATCTGAACAGAAAAAAATAGAAGGGGCAAATACAAACATTCACAACTGAGAACAGGCAAAAAAGGTCAGCTGAGGCAAAGATGAGCAACACGACTAGCATTTTTGCCAAAACAAAAGCTTTTACACAAAAAAGTTCTTAACCAAGTCATCTTGAACCAACAGATACAGGAGCAGTGAATTCTCAAACTTCTAACTCTGGTTTTACTAGGAGGTGATCTCAGCAAACCAAACCAAAGATAACCATAACATTTACGCTAGCAGTTCAGCTGAGGGGACAAGCCTCTCTGACTAAGAGAAGTACAGTAGAAAATGACCACGACTTAAGAAATGTAGGATTCAGCAGTTGAGAAATGTATGCCTCTTAATTTTCCACTGTTACATCCGTACTCTATGGCAATAACCTTGGTGTTAGGAGATATCCCCACCAAAAAGGAATGACAGTCACTGCCCATGTTGGACACTATACATTGCACAGGGAGAAACAGTAACAGCAAACATCTCCTTATAACTTTCTGTTTATTTTAAATGGGATTGGGAGCACCAAACTAATGATGTCAAATTTAAAATGGTGCCCTGAAGAGCAAGTGTTTTCCTCCCCCAAACAGACAGGAAGCTGCAATAGCCAGTGGCCATGTGGCTCTGCACAAGAGTAATGAAGCAGTCTGCATTTGTGAAGCATGTATTTGAGAAGGTAGGAGACCTCAGACAGACAGTGAAACAAAACTGTTGTACTGCTGGATGTTCCGTTTGAGAATATCTGAGCATGGACCCAAGACACGCTCAAATCGGGGTCGGTCGAGCTTTACACATTTCAATGGTCCACGAGCAACAACAGTGGCAGCACGAGGACGATTCATCAAGAGAGCTATTTCACCTACAGAACAACAAAATCCACAATGTTTAACATATGTTTCAAACAAGATGAAATCTGGTGCAAAGTAGTTTCAGACCAAGCAATAGAAAAATTGACTGTTTTAAGAGTAAACAAAAACAGGTCTAGTATTAGAAGTTAACTTGAGAGATACTTTTAAGTCAAGATCTAGAGAATCTCATTTCTAATCTCTAAAGTATTTTTTATCCTCTTGTTATTACCTTTTAACAAATATCAATAAAACTGCAGGTTAATAATACACTGCAATATTATTTGCATGTACCAAGCTAAACCTTGTCACTGTGGACAACTCAAAGTTTTAGCCTGCTCAGTACCCTAGTGCTAGTTAATATCAAAGCCTGACAGTTATAGATCATAACCTAATCTGAAATTTTGTTTCAGAGTTCATTCCAATGTTCTTACCCACCCACTGAAATTATGTACACTGATTTCTCACTACAATTTGTGTGTCAAGGGTTGAATAATGTCAGCTTCAGTGTTTCCTGACAGGCCAGTACAACATGCTGCTAATTCATGCACCACTTCAGGAAGGTTAGAAGGGCCATGTGAGCTTATGAGGGCCCTATGAAGTGGGGTAGAGCAAAGCACAGAAGGGACAGCACTTCTAAAATATGTATTATGCAATCTACACTACTACATTTTAACATTGCAAGGAACACTGTAAACTCAGAAGACTCACCAAAATAATCAGAAGGTGCAAGCCTGCCCACTTCAACAAATTCTTCATTCTCTGACCTGCGCTGTAACACAGCGGCTGTACCCTAAATGAATTACAGCATTACTGAGTAAGTTTGCAAAGGGAGGTTAGAGCAATGTAATCAGTTTTCATGACACTTTCACAGACTAACAATCCTACATTAAGCAGCTCGGCCTACATTGTCCCATTAGCTGTAAAAAAGTCTACCCAGAAAGGGACATTATTTTACAGACTACACAATTGTGTTCCAATTAAACACAACATTCATTCATGTATGAACACCTCTGTCAGGTTTGTTTAGCAGGAAATGCATATTGATTTTCTGCTGTATAGGAAGGAATTTGCTAAACAGAAATACAAGCTGGGGGCTTGTGAGCAAATGTGGGGGTGATGGAATCAAACAGGATTTCCCCCTCCTCCTTAGCTTACATTCAGCAGCTCACAACATTCTGTGTTCCTAGAGTACATTCTGTCATCAGGCTGGGTTGGTGGGGTGGGAGGGCTTTGATGAAAGCCCACTTTCTGCATACTTAGGGAGTTTCCTGAGACCTTGTCCAAGACTCCTGGAAGTCCCATGAGACCTTGTCAGACAAGGTTTTGCTGCTTTTGTGAGTGACACAAGTGCTTTGTTATTAGACACAGTGATGAACAACCATTATTTCTGAAAACTTCATAAGGACATTTTAAAAAAGAATTCATACTGGTACTGGATGGATTTTAAAGTTACAAATCCAAAGAATAAAAGAAACCCAAGACAAATATAATTTAACATGCAACACAGTTTTGTTACTTCTACTCACCTCTAGTATAATGAAGAATTCATCTCCTGGCTCTCCTTGCACCACAATCTTCTGGCCATCCTCAAACTGTACCGGTTCTAAAGCATCAGCTACTGTGAGACGCTCCCATTTATCAAGGGATTCTAGATATTAAAAAAGATTCAACTCTTCAGCTTTACCTGTAGTATTACAGGTTTATAATGTTGGTGTCACACTTGGAGATATGCAACTCTAGCCCAATCCTCCACTGACAGCAATCTATTCTACTACGACCACTGACAGGAAAACTTTAAACATCCTTTCACTTTAAATCAACTGACTGTTCAAACACACTATCCTGTGGTAGGTTAACAAAGCTCAAACAGTGAGCAGGTTTAGGGTTCTTCATAGCACATTATGGGTAACTGTTTTTCAGGTAGTAGGTAAAAAGCTGCAGTCTGAGTATTTTCAACACTTTTCAGGCAAAACCAACAGGTGGATTCTCCCATCTTCACTTTCAGCACTATGAAAAATGCTCAGACACAAACCTACACCAGTGGTTTGGTAGAACTTTTTATTTATACACATATGTTAGGTCCAGGGCCGGCTCGCCCACTAGGCGAACTAGGCGCTCGCCTAGGGCGCTGGCCCTCAGGGGCGCCAAACTGCGGGGGGGGGCGCCAAAGGGATGCGTCGCTTGGCGGGCCACCAGAGAGCCCAGCCTTGCCTTCCCTGGCCAGCCGGCTGGCGGGGGCGATGCAGCCGTGCGCCCCGGCCGGAGCAGGCCCCTTTCGGCCCGCCGGGGTGAAGTTCGCCCGCCTGAAGTTGCTGCGGGGCGGAGGAAGAGAGCCGCTCCGAGGCGCCCTCCTCCCATGACAGTCCCATCTGCCGGACCCGGCAGGCAGGCAGGGCAGAGGGGCGCCCCCCCGCCTGCCCGCCTTCTCTTCTCTACCCTCCGGGATGGGGCAGTGCCGCAGCGCTTCTCCCTCCTCCCTCCGCTCCGCTCCCCTCCCCCCTTCCCGCGGCGCGGTGGCCGGAGCCCGAAGATGGCGCCGGGCGGGGAGCAGTCCTTCCACTTCAGCGGGGACAGGACGGGGGAGAAGGGAGTTACTCCAGCGGCCTGTCCCCCTCAGAGGCCGTGGGCGCCGCCCCCACCCTTCGCCAGCCCCTCGCTCCCTGTCCGGCTGCCGGGGAAAGTGAAGACGCTTCCTGGTCCCCAGCAGCAGAGCTGGGAAGTGTCCCCCCCAAGCTTCAGGGGCAACTGGGGAGGGGGCAGCAGAGTTCCGGGTGGGGCAGCTGGGTCGGACTGGCAGCAGGGCGAAGCTGGAGGGGGGGGCTACCAGTGTTCCCCTTAGAGGAAGCTGCGCGAGTGTGAGGCAGTTTCTCTGTCCCTCTTTCTCTTTCTCAAGGGGGGGGAGGAAAGAGGAAGCTCCGAGCAGAAAGTGGGAGGCAAGGGCAACCGCCGACAGCATCAGCGGCCCAAACAGCCTAGCTCCACCCTCTGGGAGAATTGGTCGCATCCAGCGGCTTCTGGAGAGGGCCCGCCGGTTTCTTCAGGGTCTTAAAGCCTGTGGCGTTTCTCCTGGTGATGCTCTTGCGGTTGTGGCACAGAGACCAGGAGGCAACGGCACACCATTTCCAAAAGGAACCACAATCCACTCCCCATCCCTTAACTGAGACGTCACAAGGACTCCAAGAGGAAATTGGCTGTGTCCTTCAGAGAAATGAAGGCATTTTAGGAGGATGGAAGGCCAGAAGATCACCCTCATCCTACCTGGAGTCTCTAACGGGCACCCAAATTTTATTAAGAAATATAAAATCAGAAGTAGGCCCCACAGAGTTTCAAGGGGCTTACTGTCAAGTGTGCATGTACAGAATTGCAGATGATGAGAGAGGGAAGCTAGTGCTGGAGTTAGGCTAGTGCTTTCCAGACATCTCACACCAGAGAAAGTTCTTTTTCTGAATGAAAATCAAAGGCATATTTCACTCTTACTTTGCTTATTTTGCTAGAAAACTGTGAGCTAGCTCACACTAACTCAGCTTAGAGGGAACACTGGTGCAGAGTTAGGTTGCCCCTGGCTAATGACTTCAGTACGCATGTGTAGACCTCCTCCTCCTCCTATGCTGTTGAGCTCAGTCGTTAAGATCTTCTTTCCAAGCCCTGCCATCTTTGTCCTCAAGAGAAGAAGTGAAGTGAGTGGTAACCAGAGACAGGAGCTTTTCAGTGGTGGCACCTTGCCTTTGAAATCCCTTCTCCCTTGAGACTAGCCTGACTCCTTCTGTCCTGTCACGCGCTCAGGCCAAAACGCAGGCCAAAAAATTTCACCAACCTTCAGCAACTTCCACCCCATCAGTTTGGTGTGGTGCTTGGGTTTGTTACCCCACTCCTCCACATGCAGCTTCTGGTGTGACCTTGGGTCAGTCACAAGTTCTCTCAGAGCTGTTCTGTCATGAGCAGTTCTCAAAAGAGCTTTCTCAGCCCCACCTACCTCACAGGGTGCCTGCTGTGGGGAGGGGAAGGGAAAGGGATGGTAAGCTGCTCTGAGACTCCTTCGGGTAGTAAAGGTGTGCAAAAAAACCTGGCACCAGGTTT